TATTTAACTTTCAACCTTTCTCTGTTATATTTAAGGTATATCTTAAAAGGAACATTTTGTTGGGTACTTTGAGACTGGTTAATGATGTATGGAATGGTAAAATTATAGATATTTTCTTTGTGCTTATCTGCATTTTTGATGAATAGTATATACTAAATAAATTTAAATATTTAAAACTCATGTCACTGACCTCCAGAAAAGAGACATAGATTAAAATAGTGAACCTAGTGGAATAATTTATTTGTCCTGTGTACACAATATTTCATATTAATGCTTCAGGCACTGCAGCTCAAGAACTGAGGATTAAGTCAGACTATTTATGAAAAATAAATCTAAATTTGGCCTTTAATATAAATGGAGTTTTCAGACTGAGATTGGGGTGGGGTTGGGGTCGTGCTATTTAGGAACCGCAAGGGAAGCTTTTACAAACATTCATAGGTGGCTAAGTCTCCTACCTCAGCAACTTCCACGTTAGACTCTGAAGAACAGGAGTGAATACTTTTAAAAATCCTCCCAAGTGTTTCTGATACACTCCTCCCTTTTCCCTGCTTTGGCAGCCCCTCCCCCAACACACATTCACATTCTGAATCATTAGTATGAAAAGAATGAACTAACCATGAAAACTTTAAAATGGAAATCCATTATGTATAGGATGATCATAAAATGCATCATCCAAACTGAAGAGTTTTAAGAATAAAAGGGGAGACTATTAACAATTAACCCAAGACAACATTCATAAACTTAAACCAGTGGTTCTCAACGAAAGGTGATTTTGGCAATATCTGGAGACATTTTTGGATTGTCACAACTGGCAGGTTGTTACCGGCATCTAGGAGGCAGAGGCCAGGGATGCTGCTAAACATCCTACAATACACAGGACAGCTCCTCACAACAAAAAAAAATACCTGGCCCAAAATGTCAAGGCTGCCGAGGTTGAAAATCTCTGCTTAGACTAATCAGGCAAACAAGAGTACGGTAGCTCTTAATTATGGGTAGGTAACAATACAATCATGCTTTTCCTAGGCTTGGTAAAAATTAGATATTCTTAAAAACAAACATCAATATAGTTTCATTACCTATGTGTGTTTTTCCTTCCATAAAACTTCCTTAAAAATAACCTTAGTGTGAGTCAGGAGATTTCAGGAAGATCTCCGAGGGCAAGAACTGGTTTTGGGGACGACCAGTCTTGGATTCAGGTCCTGGTTGCGTCACTTAGTGACCCCGACTTGGATGAACTCCCTTATCTCTCTGAGCCAATGAGGACATTGCAAGTCCAGATTGAGGCAGAACACAGTGGGGAACTGAGGTAGAGGAAGCAAAAGGAAAAAAGAAGAACAGTTACTCCCCCAGGCATTTCCAAAAAGCAATCTCTCTGCAGCACCTCCTTTCAGGTTATAGATTGATACGGGGTTATAAGTGTAGGAAGAAAAGCCATTAAAGGCAAGGGAAAACGAAACAGTCAGTCTGCTTGCTACATGGAGGACTGAAGTGTCGGTAGTTAGTTCGAGGCACACAGTGAAGCAGACACAGGTGGCTCTAGAGGTGCGTTCACTCCCACCAACTTACTCCCCCTGCCCCACATCCCCCAAACACAAGAGACAAATTTTAACTTATTTCTTCCCAGTTAAAACGCGTGCGGGAAACTGAAAAACAATGTAAACCTCTCCTGGAAAGGAACAAGTGCCTCGCCAAGAGAAACGATGAACTGATGGTGTCCTTGCAGCGCATGGAAGAAAAACTAAAAGCCGTTACCAAGGAAAATTTGGAAATGGTGTGTATCACAGACTCTGCAAAACTGTAGCTTCCTTCTTTATATTACTCCAATAACCTCCCTTATTGTTATTTCTCAGCTTGTTTTAAAAATACAATGCTATTTGGATTTTCCCTTATGTAAGCAAGGAAGCTTTAGGGAAGAAAGCAAGAGAAGGTTGCTGGCTCTGAATTTTATGGGGCTTCTAATTTTGCAGAACTGTGGGAGTGCTTCCAGGAATCTGCACGCTCCCCAAAAGCTCAGAAATGGAGAAGCAAAGCTTCAACATAACTCCTCAGCCGCAGAAACCCTTCTTCCAAGATTTCACTAGTGTGCTATTTACAGACCTAGACACCAGACACACCTTGTCTTCTAAGCTCTTGCAGGATAGTTGGGAAATAGACACCATTACTTGTATTATGCATGCACAAGTGATATGCTGATGTTCTCCTTAATAGACTTCCAACACATCCATAGAGATCTTCAGATAATCCCCAGTGATGACTTATTAAAGCAGATAAAATATACTTGAGGATTTTAGTTGGTGTGTGTGTATTCAAGCTAGGCAATTTTCAAATTTAGCTGGAGCCTCATAAACTTTCTACAGGTATTTTATGTTAATAACTAAAGTTTGGGATCTTTAAATTTTCTACCTTACCTTCTTCTTTTCCAATCCAGAGAGAAAAAATAACATCCCATCCACCTCTGAAGAAATTAAAATCTCTGAATGATCTTGACCAAGCTAATGAAGAACAAGAAACAGAGTTTCTAAAACTTCAGGTCATTGAACAACAGAACATTATTGATGAGCTCACAAGGGTAGGTGTTGATCAATCTGTAAATTCTAAATTGTTCCCAGTGACAAGTAGCCAACAAGACATATACTGAAAGCACTTAATAATT